AGGAGAGAAAGTGTAGACAGCTTTCATGAGGAATAAGAACTAGGACCTGGAGATTTGGAATAGAGACTCTCCTCTTCACCTCCCTAGAGCTGGTTCTTTGTAATTTGTGTCTGTGCCATTCTCCTGGGGCTCATATAAGTATGGGTGCTCCCTGCTTCAGTCCCAGCTCTATATGATTTCCCGGTTCAGACAAATTATCATCTTTATGATTCAATTCCAAATTCCCAGAGGAAGGTGATTTCTTGCCTTGGCTTACTCCAAGTGCCAGCCTCTGATCCGATCAGTCTGGACCAGGATACATGGTCACCTGATTAATACATGGTTCTTTAGGCCCAGCATTTCAGCAGGACCTAGGAGATCCATTCAAAAAAGGGTCCTGAACTAGGCAAACTAATTAATATCTCTTCTGCAATTTATAAATAATTTAAATTCAATATTCTGTTAAAAGGTGTAGTGAACTAATTACTGTCATACATACATCCGTTGGAACTCAGTAAACAGCAATTAATTCTATATAAATGAATGCTTGCAGGTGAGATATATTTGGTCTACCTTCCAAAAAGTTTATTGCCAAAACATAATTTCTCACTAAAATATGTATTTTTAGTTTCTACTTTATTCCTCTCAATCAATATCCAGCTGCCTGTGAGACCAATAACAGCCTTAGCCTGGTAGCCTTTAATCCTCACCCGAGGATATGTTTTCATTGTTTCTAGAGAGAGAGGAAGGGAGAGGGAGAGGGAGAGGGAGAGGGAGAGGGAGAGGGAGAGGGAGAAGGTGAGGGAGAGGGAGAGGGAGAGGGAGAAGGTGAGGGAGAGAGGGAGACATTGATCTCTTTGGTTGCCTCATGAATGAGCTCTGACTGGGGATCGAACCCCGCAACCAGGGTATGTGCCCTGACCAGGAATGGAACCAGTGACTCTTCAGTGCACAGGACGACCTCTAACCACTAAGCCACACACCAGGGCAATCTGGTAGCCTTTAAATGAGATGAGAATTGGCATATTAAAAAATGTTATGAATTTTCTTTCTTGGGTTTTTGGCCCTCCAATGCCAAATAATTTAATGAGCTGCCTTTCTATTTGTATGTTGATTCTTTGTTTCTTTGTTTCTTTCTTTTTTTTGCCTTTTAATTTTCATTGTAATAACTGAGTATTACTTAGAGCTAAATGTAATATAGATATCTATAATTTGTCATGGTATATATTTTACATCATCATCTCCTGATCCATTCTTCAATAAGCAGGTAAGGAAGAATTACATTTGGGAGAAAGTCACATACCCAAAGGCAGAAAGCTATTGAGTTGCTTGGAATCAAAACACTGAGTCACTCATTAAACAGATCACAAAATAAAACTTTGTTGAGAGATTATTATGGGTAAAACTCTCTGATATGTGCTCAACTTAAAAATGAGAAATATCCCTGACTAGTATGGCTCAGAGACTGGAACATCAGCCCTCCCACCAAAAGGACACAGGTTCAATTTCCAGACAAGGGCACATACCCAGGTTTGATCCCAGGGCTAGGTGAGGGCAGGTGTGGGAAGCAACCAGTTCATGTATCTCTTTCACATGGATGTTTCTCTCTCTCTCTCTCTCTCTCTCCCCCCCTCCCTTCCACTCTCTCTAAAAAATCAATAAAAAAAAATCCTCAGGTGAGTATTAACAAAAATAGAATACAATGAGTAATATAAATTACTACATTTTTAATACTTTTATTGTAAACTTAAAATTTTTAATTTAAATTATTAAATTTTTATCTTAATTTAAAAATTAGTTGATCAATTGAAACTGACATAAGAAATATCATGAACTCGAGGATCCATTATTTTATCTTTGCTATCATAAAAGTAGATATGCTGAGGCATTGTTGTTTTTATACTTAATTGTTGTTTTTATACTTACGCAGGAGAAACTAATAGAATTCTGGGTATATCCTGGTTTCCCTGAGCTTGGAGAGCATAGACTGGAAGTTTACAAAGCTAATTTATATTGGCAGACATGCTCCACAGGCATCTTAAATTCCACATGTCCTCTATGAACCAAAGTTTTCGAATGTCAGGATGAGTTTATAATCTGATGAGAGCATGAGGTATGGAAATAAAAACAAAAATTAGAAAATAAAAAAATGGAGAACTAGCTTTAACTAAAGATCTCTTGAAGTCCCTTTCACCCCCAGTACTCTGATAGTAGAATGGAAAAACTGACATTTTCTATCTGCAGAGTGCTAACCAATGTAATGCAAACTACACCTTTTTCCAGTTTACTCTCACAAAACCCTAGGAAGAAGATAGTATTAATCTCATTTTACACACGAGGAACCTAACTCTTAGGAAAAGTAAGGGATTTGCCCAAGGTTGCACATATCACCAAGGCCTGGATTGAAATTCACTTCTGGCAGACAACAGAGCCCAGGATTTTTCCACTACATGACCACAAGGCTCTCAGCAGGAAGTTGTCCCTTCTCCAGTGAGTTTTATAATCCAATGATGACAAATTACCCAACAGATTTGTTTTAAACCTAGATGAAAAGGTGGATCATAAAAATCTATGGGGGAAGTGATCTCTCTGTTTCGAAATTCCCCCCTATGGAGTCATTAGTATTAAAAAAAAAAAAAAGATTCTCTAAGTACTTCCGATAACCTCCCCACCTACCTGCCAGTGCCCTTCTCCCTCTTCTTCACCTGATCAACTCCACCTCATCTGGACTCAACTATAGTAAATATCACCATTTTCAGGACTTCTCTGGCGGGTTCAATTACACTTTTCAGTCCTCCTCAGGCACGATTCCATCATTGAATTCATCACATTGTTTTCCAATTACTTATTTATGTTGGGTTCCCCCCTTTTAGACTGTGGTGAGCTTGTTGAAGGCAAGAACTGCACATTTGAGCCTTCAGTCCTTAGCACAAGGTCTTACACTGAATACAGTATTTCAGAGCATTACATTAGTAAACACAAATTTCAGAACCACTTGGAAATCGTTTAAGAAAATCCTCAAATTTGTTTTATTGTTCGTTTTCACCCCGTGAGTAAACTGGGTAATTCAAGACATATTAAACCACAATACAATTTTTATAGGTTCCAAGTGTGAGACATCGTCCTTAGATGCCGAAGCTCCGAAGAAAACTACATTTTCCGAAATCCCTGAGGCCCAGTCGTAGTTGGTTTGCTGACTGTTGTTGAAAGCCTGTCACGTTAACCAATACGGGGACGAGAATTTCCCTAAACCTTGCTGAAGTCGGCCAATCATAAGGAAGAGGGCGGGCTCTTCTGACTTGGGTTCAGAAAGCCTTGAGCAGCTCTTCGGTGGCTCACTGCTGGACTCTCAGGGGCGGAGAGGCACTAACCCGGAAGAGTGTCCTTCCTCCCAACCCCTACCCCACGAAATAGAATTAGTCTTTTATGAGCTTCCATCATCCCTTACGTTTTTCCTAGTTTCCAAATTTTCCACATTCTTCCTAATCAAAGACCTCCGCTTCCCATCCACCTTTCCTCGTTGAACGCTTTCTCCGGGAGGGTACCCGCGGCTTGAATCTACCTTTGCAAACTTGAGCCAGACATTTGTCTCCAAGCATCCAAGCGAGATTGTGTCAGGGCAGCCGCAGAAAGGTCTGAGCAAAAACTTTATCTTCCCCTTGCAAGACGGGAGAGAGAAGCTGTTGGGGATTACTTTTTGAATAATCAGTATCGAAGGCGATTGAAGATTGTGAAACGAGTGACAGCGCTGTGTTTACTTGCACCCTTGCTCTCGCCCGTATCCACACCCATCCTAGCGTGCAGTGAATCCAGGGGTGGCGTGTCACTGGTCGCGGCACTCGGCCCTGAAGGGGTTCCCCTTCGGTAGCCTGTTCCATTCTAGCGGCTATCTGCCGTGGCCGCGCTTCACTCCTATCAACAGTTTCAGAAAATAATTACCCCCCCCCCAGGTTTATCTCCTTTCCTAGTACCTTTAAAAGTCTGTCATCCTCTTGCCACAGACATAGTCGTTGGCAAGAAGCTCTTTTTCAAACACCCAGTCCAAATCAATCCAAAACAAAGCCCGTCAATAAAGCAACAACAACAATATCGCAGCCCGCAGCTGGGAGTGTGTACCTCTTTAAAGGGTGAGAGCATAACCCCCGCTTTAAACACCGAATTTGACATAAAGGTTTCCTGCTGCTTCTTAGTCGTCAACATTTTTACTGTCCCAGCTGCAGGAGCAGCAGCTGCAGACTCGAGCAGGGCGATTGGGGTGGGAGAAATTTAGCTGTGGTCTGGGATTTTCGCAGAGGATAATTTAAGCCCCAGCTCCACTCCCGCGGAGGGGAGGGGCGGGGGTGAGGATGCGGTGGGCGTGCGCATGCTCAGCAGCCCCGCTCCGCGGAGGCCCAGCTGCCGCCACCGACGCGGCCGGCGCTGTAACCGCGGCTGCCGCTGCTGCTCCGGGCGGGCGTTGGTGCCGTGTGCCGAGCTCCTCGTCAGGCGAGAGGGAGCGGCCGGGCGGCGGCGGGCGGCGCCGGCGCCTGAGGAAGGCAGAAGAGCCTCTGAGGAAGCGAGGGCGGGCCGGTCCAGCGGCGGACGAGCGAGGCGGAGCGAGGCGGAGAGCGCGGGGACCCACCCGGGCGCCCTGCGTGCGATGCCGGGCGGGCAGCGGCGCTGAGCGACGGGGAGGCCGAGCGGCCGCCGCGGACGGACAGCCAGCGACCCCGGGCGGAGGAGGAGCGGCAGCAGCGGGAGGCAGCGCCGAGGGACTGCGGGGCCGGGGCGGGCGAGGAGCAGCGGGGCCGCGGGCCATGGACGCGGCGGCGGCGTCGGGGGCGAGCCGGGGCGGCGGCGCGGCGCAGAGTCAGCCCGCGGCCAGGTGAGGCTGGGCAGCGGGCTCCGGGCGCCGCCGCCACTGCTGTGCCGCCGGGCCGCGGAGCGAGGCGGCGGCGGCGGCGGCTGAAGCGGCGCCACAGCAGCCGCGGCGGCCTCGCAGGAAGAGGGGTCGCCGCCCGGGGTTCTGGGGGCCGCCGCGCTCTCGTCGCCGCAGTATTTCCTGTTTGGATTATCTTTTGCTTCTCCCCAGCTGCCTCCTTCCTCTCACACTCCCACTCACCCCCCGCTCCTCCGGCTCCTCCGTCGAAGCTGCCCTCGGCCCGGGCTGGTTCCTCCCGCCCGCGGGCGCCCCGGCCGCCCCTCCCGGGCCGCAGGCGAGCCCCCCGGGACCATGAGGAAATTCAACATCAGGAAGGTGCTGGACGGCCTGACCTCGTCCTCGGCCTCGCAGCAGCCGCCGCCGCCGCAGCACACGCCGGGGACCCGGGAGCCCGAGATCCAGGAGACGCTCCAGTCCGAGCACTTCCAGCTCTGCAAGGTGAGCGAGCGCGCCGCCCGCGAATCGGGGGTCGTTGAGCCGGGCAACCCGGGCTAGACAGGGGAGCCCCGGGGAACCGCGCAAACGCTAGACGGCGAGGAGAGCACGCGCCCGTCCTCGGGAAACACTCGCTACTGGGTTAATTCGAGATTGATGCCACCCTACACCTTTCCGTGGATGTTTACCGCCCTTCTCCCGGGCAGCAGTCGTTCGGGGTGCTTTCACGTGATGATGCTGGTCTTCACTCGTGTTCGTAGTTGACAGCCCCAGCTCTCACAGTCAGGCGTTTGAGTAGAATTCACCAACTTCGGAGTTTCCCTGGGAAACTGTCTAGTGAATGTTGTTTATCCGAAAGCCAAACCTGTTCAGCGAGACATTTGCTCATCACTTTTCCCTTAGAATGTGGTGGGAGGCTGTAGGATAAGACATCTCGGGGTCCTCTGACGTTCGGGTGAAAAGTTAGCCCCGTGATTGTTTTGCCTGTGAAAGGCACAATTGCCACAGCGGTCGGTAATTCAGAAGGAATGATGCAGCGAATTAATTCAGCCGCTGCTCAGTGAGAAATACAAACTTGTCTTGGTGCTAATACCTGCCTTCCTCGTAAATACGGCGCGTTAGAGTCTTAAAAGTGTGTAGGAACACTTTTTTGGCCTTATTGCCCTAAAATGATTGAGAATTTAGTAGCAAGATGCAAAAATACGTATTCTGTTACGTTTGCAAAACGTCGGCATAGATGTTTGAGAATTGCTTTACTGAATCCTCGACTAGCTTATATGACAGCTTTTCTTTAGAAGTATTTGCATTAGCATCCAAATAAACTAATGGAGAAATTATCACACTTGAAATAAAACATGAATTGCATTTTTAAATGAATTTACAGTTTTTGACCACTAAGAACTTTAATAATTTGGTCTCTGACATAGTAGTATAGAGTACTAATAAGAAATTTTCTTATATAGAATGCGAATATTATGGAAAAGCAGAAATTAAAGTGTAATACTGGAATAGATTTTGTTTGTTTCAGTTATGTTTGTTTTTTAATGTAGATTTTGTAGTGTTTTGTTTTGTTTTTTACAGCAGTAAGTACTTGTATATGTGTTTTTCATCAGTTGTAATTGGTGCTAGATTCTAATGCCTTTATTGATTTTTCTGTTTTTAATTTTTGCTTGCTGCCTTGGTTGGTGTGATGTCACTTGCCCATCCCTAGACTGTTCGCCATGGATTTCCCTATCAACCCTCAGCCCTGGCCTTTGATCCTGTACAGAAGATCCTGGCAGTGGGAACTCAGTCTGGTGCTTTGAGGCTGTATCCTTTCATTTAATTTAATTTTGTAAACTTTTATGTATTCTCCCCAGTCTTTCTGTGTTGCTGATTAGTTCTCACTGTTTAATTCCAAAGAAATGATCTGGTAGATATGTGATATCATGTGGTGTTGGCTTTTCTCTAGATTATACATATATTCAGGTTATATATTGCTGCGATCTTTCTCAGTTCTCAGTTTATAGTAGCTAAACATGTATCCATCCACACACAGTTCTAAAGTCTTCCTGTCATTGCAAGGAGCTAGACATTTCTAAGGGGACATATATCTTCTTATACTAGTAGTCTATTGAATGGAACATGTTAAGGACCAGGTTTAAAGACAGTAACACAAGCTACATTTTAATTGCTTTTTAAAAAATATGTGTGGTTGATGTTGAACTTATGACCTATTCTAATGAATTAGAGGTTAAATGTGACTGTTTCTGACTTGTCCATTTAGAAGAATCTTCAGAAGACAAATGTCTTAATTTTATGTAACTATTCAGATAGTTTGTTCTTTCCAGGAGTTTTAGAGCATTTTCTTAGCGTAATGAAAATAGATAAATGTGCTCTTTTGATATTTTTCTTTTGTAGTATACATTTTTTATGTATATATAAAAACTGTTAGGTTAGCAGCATTCTTAAGTATTTGTATAGAAAATTATTTTCTTCTGGTTATACATGAACTATAGTAGAAGTTTGGTTATAGTGTATTTTCCTAACACTTAGTCTTTGAGATAATTGTTTTAGTCTGAACAATGCAGAATATCTCTCATTTTCTCTTTTAAATGATTTAACTTAAAATTGTGTTTGCTTATACTATGGCATTAAACCATGTTAACCTAAAAACCCTTATTTTTAAACTGAAACGTAAGATTTTTTTAAAAGAAAATTTTGTGTTTGGTCATCTGTAGGATATCTGCTTCCTACATATTACTGAAGTAATATTTTGGTAATAGATACAAAATCACTAGACATTACTATTATGAAAAACAAACAGGGGAGGAGGAGCGCTTTATCCCTCACATCTGGTTCCTGATAAGGGGCAGGGGAACCTGCATATGAGTAAATATATGCCTTGCTTTTTCCTTATCCTTTTTTAAAATCTTCATTTCAAAGAAGTACTATATATAGTATTAGGATAGGCCTCAAGTTTCATTTATATTAGTGTGAAATCTTCAAAGTGATCATAAAAGTGTTTTCAGATGGTCCATTTACTAAGGAAAGTTTACCATTCATAACAAGTAGTAGTAATGCACGCATACCTATTGAAGTGGTAAAGTCTGACCAGCCAAGATATGAACCTTGTTTGTCTAAAGGGCTCTTGCCCAAATACCTAGATAGTTGAGACTAAAATATTTTAGGCTTCAATTGTTCAGAGATTTTTAAACCCAATGATCAGTAAGAACCTTCTAGCTTAGGGTTGATGGGAATGAAGTTAATTTATGAAGTGGGGGTACTAAGTGTTCAGTAAAATTTCGTATAGTGACAAGAATAGTGTGCATTGTTGGATCTAGATGGATTGTTTAGACCAGAAGTAGATTTTTTTTTTTTTGGTTCCCAACAAAAGAATATCACTGGACTAAAAGAAAAGTGTTGAATTATAAATCAGTTATTTTTAGATTATTTTGCTTTTCTTTTAAACGGGTTGGATTTTTACTATTTTCCCAGTGCAGTCTCAATTTTCTCATGGTAACTAACTTTTTTTTTTTTTTAACAGCCAATCTGCCCCATTTGTAATTTAATATAATTATAAGTAAGTACCACCAGCAAGGCTGATTTTTATAAAACCAAGTATTTTTCTTAGATAAGACTTTTGCCCTAATGCATTTAAGTAATTAGCAAGTTGACACAAGGGAGGATTAAAAATGTTAGTCCTAAAGCTAATTGCCAAATTTAAAGTAAGGATCAAGTGTCCAAAATCATCACTTGTGCCTATACATATACTTTTGCCTATACATACTTTTAATAGTTAAATACTATATGAGTGTAAATAAATGTGTAGTTGTAGTTTACAGTTAGACTATATTTTTTTCAGAGCCTCTCTTACTGTATTTTGAATGAAGTCTGAAAGACTATTTACCAAATATATTTCTATTTTCCCTTTTTTGAGATTCATATGAATGTTCCAGAGTGGTAAATTGGTTTGTCTGCCAGTAATACCACCTAGTCATGCCTTCTGTTAAGTTTAAGTAACAGATCAGCTTATGAGCTTTATTTTATTATGGCCTTGACATATAGAAAATGACTAAGACCTTTTTATTTTAATCTAATTTCTGTACATGCATTTTTAGATGTGTTATTTTCTCTGTTCTTTATTTTCAAAGGTGGATAACTGAAATTTTAGTTTCTAATTTCACAACTTTACATTGATATAATATGCACACTTATTACAAATCAGTTCTATTGCTCTCACTTGTTTATATTTTTCTTTATTGAAGTTGGTTTTTTAGTTCTGGATTTATTTTATTCTCATATTAGATCCTTGTAGCCTGCAATATATTTGTCTTAAAAGATATCTTTAGAGCAGAAATATACCACTATGTAAAGTATTTTCTTTGCTTAATGGTGGAGCAGAAAGTAGGAGATGTATTCAGAAGTAGAATTGGGCTATTTGAATTTGAAATGCATATCTGATTTGATTAATAGAAGGTCTCCTTAAATGTTGGGGGAACAAAACTGTATTAATCTACTTTGAGGTAAAAAAAACAACAACAGATGAAGATATGTTATTTGTAGACAAGAATTAGTGAAAATCTGAATCCCTAATATCTAAGAATGAGACAAGATAAATTTAATGTATATGCTGCAGTAATATATAGCAAATGACTGATTATGTTATTTATAAACATGCTTTATGTTCAACCTTCTTGGCTTCTGGAGAGAATATGAGATTGGAATGTACTTAATTGATTTTATATAATACATCATATAGTAGTGATGTGATTTAATTATTTTAATTCTCTTTTTACCATGTAGAAACAAGTACAATTTGATTCTTATGAGTCATCTAGGGATCAAAACTATTAGGATACTAGGGAATAGAGTCAGTAGTACTTTAATAACTATATATGGTGTCAGATGGGTATGAGACTTGTTGAGGTGATCACCTGGTAAGTTATGTAAATACTATATCTCATCACTATGTTGTTGTACACCTGAGACTAATATAATGCGTCAACTGTAATTGAAAATCTTTTTTAAAATTTCTTAAACTATTGAAATAAAATAATCTAATTATCTATTCCCATATGGATAAGAGAAATGGCGGAGAGGTGGAGGACCTAACTGAGGAATGAAAGTGATTCTAGTAATACATCTTGTAGTTCATTTAATAAGCATATATTAAATGTTAACATTAGATTACAGATTGTGGCCTGAGTTCTGGTTCTTGTCTTATCACTAAAGAATTATGTGTTCTTGAGTTAGGCTTTTTTTTTTTTTTACTTTTAAAATGAAGGTGTTATATTAGATGATTTCTTAAGAAATAATTCTGTGATTTCAAGTAGCTCTATTATATTGGTCTATGTGAGTATTCAAAAGAAATGAATATGTAATTTTTACCTTCAAAAAGTTTCCAGTCCTAACTGTAGAATTAGACCTAGGTAAACATAATTGAAGTTAAATAATTATTTAGGGGTCTGCTGACATTGCACAAAGTTATATTACAGTTAAATTTATTGTATATGATGACATTTCTATACACTAATAGATAAGGATTCTGAATGGCAGAGAAGAAGGAATGGGAAAATTATTCTAGGCAAACAGTGTGGTCAAAAATAGAGAAAAGGGAATTATCAGAGTAATTTAGAGGAGTTCTGAGCGACTCCTTGGAATAGTGATCCTTATTGAGTTGAGGGGGGAAATGAGCCAGGTGGTAGAGAACCTGGAATGTTAACCTACATTATCTAGATGTTATTCAGTGAGGAATCGTAGTTATGTAAGGAGATGCTGACAGGAAACCTGATTTTTAGAATGATTAACGGGGCAGTGGTGTCATGGAGGAAAAGAGCAGATTAAGTGAAACTTCAAATGTAACTATTAACCCATTTAGGTAGTAAAATGGATATAAAACAGGGGTAGTAGAATGGGAACTAGAGAAGGACTTGATGACTCCTTTAGATAACATCTTAGAGGGGGTAAACTAAAGATAAAGTTTGAAAATATACAGAAGTAGTTACAAGACAGAAATGGAAAACTTGGTAAAGAGAGTGGCACAGTAATGTTTATAATGATGTCATTTTTTGTTTTTGTCATTATTGCCATTTTTTTGTTATTGCCATTTTAAGAAGGTAACCTAGAATACTTATTTTAGGATGAGAATTTGATAAGCTTGTATATTTGATTTCCTTTTGGGTGGGTCCTGATGATTTCCTTGATTTGTTACTGAACTGAACTAGTTTAAAGCCACTATTAGCTGTTTGGCTGTGTCCGTTTATTCTGGGTCATTGTCTCTCAATAGTTGTAGCATTTTGGGCTGGATTATTGTGTGGGTTTGTCCAGCACACTGCAGGCTATGTAATATCCCTGACTCCTACCAATTAAATGCCACGGTTGCCTCTGCTGTCAGTATGGCAACCCAAACTCCCCCACAAACTAACAGGAGTTCCTGGTTGAGAACCCCTGCACTTAGTGCAGATTCTTCACCAGTTAAAAAGGAGTAATAACCCTACCTAGCATCAGCATTTAATGCAATAATGTTATGTGTAGCTTTTAAGACTATGCAGGGATAGTTTTGGTGGATATTCATATGATATTGTTAATAATGCAATTTTTTCATGGTTTTAATTTTCAGATCCTTCATTTATTTCAGCAAATAATTGCAGAGAGGCATTGTGTTAGAAGACCTTAATTAATTAATTAATTAATTAATTTTCTTGCTACATGCCCCTAGTGGAAACTGAACCTGGGACTCTGGTCTGCAGGTCGACGCTCCAACCGCTGAGCCAAACTGGCCAAGGCTGATGCAGTTTTTGAGTAGAAGGTTTTAAAAAGTATTGTTT